CTGACTCATGCCACAACGTGGATAAATCTTAAAACATTATGTTAAGTGAAAGAAACCAGTCATAAAAGAACAACACATGGTATGAGTCCATTTACATGAAATATCCAGAATAGGCAAATGTATAGATACAGAAGGTAGATCAGTGGTTGCTGGGAGGGGAGAATAGGAGATGACAGCTCAATAGGTTTCTTTGAGGTGATAAAAATGGTCTAAAATTGATTCTGGTGATAGCTGTACTTCTCTATACTAAAAACCATTGAATTGTGCACTTTAAATGGGTGAATTATATGGTGTATCAATTAATTACATCATACAATAATCCTAAAGATGTTACAAAAAATAAAATCACCAAACATCAAAATAGCTTATCATGCATTTGGGTTCAAATTACAGTCTTTGTAGTTCTTGTGTGATTTTAAAAATCACATGAGATTATTTTTAGAGAGAAAGGCTGCATAGCATGGTTAAAGGGCAAAGATTTTGGATCCAACAGCTCTGGATCAACTTGTGGCTTCAACACTTTCGAGCTGTTTGATGCTTTGAGCAAAAGTATCTCACCTTTCTAAGTCTCAGTTTCCTAAATTGCTGAGATCATAGCGATCTTTTAGGGATTTTGTTAGAAGCCTATAGTAAGTGTGCAGTAAGTGTTAGCCACACAATATTAAAGCAAACTATTGATTTCTCATTGGTATGGTTATCTAAACTAGGTAACTTGGTGAGCAGGGCACAGTGCAGAATGATTACAATGGAAAGAAGGTATTTCAACAAATACGTACTGAGTGGTAGGCACTCAGCAGTGGGTGCGGGGGCGGAGTGGGGCGTGATGTAAAACGTATCTCCTTCAGTCCCCAGGAGTTTACTGTCTGGTGGGTGGTGCTGAGGGTAGAGGGTGCACCTCCCTGTACAGATTAATTTAATAGTAATATGGTTTTAAGAGATGAGTTTGTACAGGGGTAAGGGGAGGAGCCAATGAAAGTGACTCATGGGAAGGTATATCAGAGAAGATGACACCCAAGACGAGTACTGAAGAAAAAATAAGAAAATTGAGCCTGATAAAGGCCAGAAGGGCTTTCCTGGCAGCAGAATCAGCGCAAGCAAGCACCTGAAACGCCCATTTATATGCTGACTCCCAAATCCTAGACTGCTCTACCAACTCAGAATCTTCACTCGGATGGCCAATAGACTTATTAAAATCTCCCCCACAAGGCAGTCCACTTAGCTTTTCCCGTCTCCAATGATGGCAACTCCAGCCTTCTGGCTGCTCACGCCCAAATCCTTGGAGTTATCCTCAACAGCTTTGTTACGTTCCCATATCCAACTTGTCAGGAAATCCTCTTGGCTCTACCCTTAAAATATGTACAGAACCCGAGTCCTCAAACCTGTGACTGCTGCAGGATACTGCCATGGGTCTGAGCCACCATCAGCTCTTGTCTGCTTCTACTTGTGCTCACCCACGTTCTCTATTCAGCACCTAGGCTGATTCTTCTCAAATAAAAGAGGAACCTCAATACTTCTCCATTCAAAATGCCTATGGTTGGCATTTTGCTCGGGGCCCACAAAGCCCTTCGTGACTTACTTCCTCCACCTCCCCTTTCTGTTCTTTTCTTCCCCTCTCCACTTCATTTGCCCTCTGATTTTGTTTGGCCAAGGTAGTGGTTTATTTGTCTTTGCCAATGTAATACTGAAAAGGCAGGTGTTATGGTTCCTTGCAATACAAGCCCCCATTGTGTCACTCCTTGCCTAAGCATTCACATACCTGCAGGCTCCTGGCTGTCATTAGAGAGCCCCCCCATCCCCACTGTAGGAGGCAAATGTGGAGCCACTGAAGGTCTTAAGGTCACATTTGCATTGAGATAATTTTGCTTTCAGTATGGTGGATGAATTTAAGGGGAAGTCTACTGGGAGCAAAGATTGGAAAAGGGACAGTTTTAGGAAGTTTTTACAACACTCCAAATGGGTGCCTGTGCTAAGGCTGTGATTGTTAGTGGGGTTGGAGAGAATATTCCAGATTCCAGAAATACTTTAAGGTATAATTGCTGCCAGACGAGGCCTGGGCCTGAACCAGGGCCTGCTGGCAGTATGTGGGTTCTTAACTTTGTGTAGGAAAGATTTCACAATACGAGTCCAAGTGATTTTGAGAATATGTTTATGAAAGCTGGGGGCAATAAAACGAAGGACATAGGGTAGAAGAAGCAACAGGAGAAAGTCAGAGAAAAGGGAGCCTTGGAGACAGGTTCAAAGGGGTAGCCCTGGACGAGCTGCCGCTGCCCACTACTCCCCTGGTTGCAAGTCCCATGGGGACCCTTAGAAAAAGAAGAGAGATACAAGGCATGGACATGCTCTACTGAGAGCACCTGTAGATTCTTTGTCTTGAGGCTTTTTATCTCTTTGGTCAATGGGAATCCTAGGGGAGGTCTGAGAGGAGGATCTCAACAGAATATTCGTTAGGTTTTCAGGTGTGTCCTTCAATATACTGATATTCATCAAAACGTGCGTATAGAGGGGCTAGGGTTATTTTCTGGTTGGTTTTATTATTAAAGAACGTTATTGGAGAGAGACCAGGCCAAGGCCGGTCTGTCCCAGCAAGGTCTGTAATGTGTAAACCATTGGCCGCTCCTAAGTGTCCTTGGTTGGGGAAGATAAAACATTGTGATTCATTAGCTGGCTGCAAATTGCTCAAATTGTTTGGCCTTGAGAATTTTGCCTTAATTTCCCTTATTCCACTTGTCAAGGAATTAGCAGGACCTAGTAGTGTTTGACCGAATATGTGGTTTTTGCTTTGAGTCCCTTGGTACCACTTACTGAACATGGGGTTTTTGTAGGAAGATGAAATTTGAAGACAGGGAACAAGAAAACGTAGATTTCCTTTTGGACATTTCGATTTGGAAGCATAAAAGGAAAAGCCACCACTGTGTACAGCAAGCAGCTGGATTTAGGGTTCTTAGGGTCAGGGGGAGAGGGCTGGGCTGGAAATCTGAGGTGACCATGACTTTTAAAAATGTTCAGTTTTTTTCTTCTCATATCAAGTATTGGTGTGTTTCTTTCAAACTTCACTGTTCACTTAAACTCTTCCATCATAAAATTTTCCAGGACATACACTATAAGCACCCCAAATTTACTGTCCGCTCATCAGTGGCCTCCTCGGGTAGTTTTTAAAGCTTAGAGATCTTGAAAATGCAGTAGTCCTAACCCGTTGGAGCAAAAATATGGGCAAGATCTGGCTTCCCATTTGCCTCCTAGAGCCCAGGAGTGTTTAGCTTTTTCTACAGCATTCACACAGCGTGAAAGGAGCTCAAGAGCCGAGTTGAGTGTTCTCCTTCACTCCCAAGAAGGGTCTTCTTACATATTTGTTTTTTTTAACCCATTTCAGAGAGAGGCAGGGGAGGGAGGGAGAGAGAAACATCAATGATGAGAGCCCCGGATCCGGCCTCCCGCGAGCGCGCCCCCTGCTGGGGATGAGCCGCAACCGGCGGTGCCCTGACCCGGAATCGAACCGTGACCTCCAGGTTCCCGAGGTCGGTGCTCAACCGCTGAGCCCCGCGGCCACCCCCGGGCGATGAGGAA